CAGAAGAGATTTGGGAGGTTTCATGCAATATTGATACAGAAATTGTATTTAATGCAGCAGGTTTACAAGGCGAGAGGCAAAAGGAAATGTAAATGCAAACGTGGGGTTTTATCCTGCGGCTCTTCCCTCTGTCAGAAAGTGCCTCAGTGCTGGAAGTCTCCTGTAAAAACACAAAATTCTCCCAACTGGAGGCAGTTTCAGGCACGCAGTGTGTGTCCAGAAAGGGAAAGAAGCTGTGAGCTTAATCTAACTGAATTTCCATTGTTGTGTGCTGTTGCTATTTATTTTACTCATTTTTCTTTCAAAGCAAGAAACACAAAATCCCTGTTAGAGGGAGCTGGATCAATACTGAGGAATTCTTTGTCAGATGGAATAAGAGCAATCATTAACCTTGCTGCTTATGAATTAAATGCACTCTCCACTTTTCAGATCACCTCTCCCACAGCATCCCCTGCAAACTTCCCTCATTTCCTCAGCAATTAAAACCCAGCTCAGCCACCCAAAAAAGAATTTTTACAAACAGCCTTGCAGCTCTCCTCCTTCTGTTTGGGTGGGAAAAAGGAGGAGGTGTTTCCTGACGTGGATTGGGTATTTTGGTGACAGGAACTCTCCTTAGGTGTGGATTTGTGGATCAGGGATATCATTGATAGCCCTGATGTCTCTTGGAGCAGCACCTGGAGAAAGCTGATGGCCACAGCCCAGCTTTGGGGTCCCCTGGCCAAATTCCAGCCCATTTTACCCCAGTGAAAGTCATCCAGGAGCTGGAGCTGCTGGGGATGGTCCAGAGGAGGCTCCAGGATGGGCAGAGGGATGGAGCAGCTCTGCTGGCACAGCTGGCATTGCTCACCTGCACGGGAGGAGATTTGGGGTGAGCTCAGTGTGGCCTTGCAGGGAAGATGGAGAAGCTTTGGACAGGGATGGAGGGACAGCAAACAGGGAATGGCCTCAAACTGGCAGGGAGCAGGGTTACAATGGATTTTAGGAGGAATATCTATAGGGACACCTGATGCCATTGTCCACAACAAAGCAAAATCAAAATCCGGTTTCTAAAATGATCATAAAGTTTTTAATCTCTGACAAACCACTGATCTTTCAAAGTCATCAGCAGTTTCAAGTTCCAATTGACATTTCTGTGCAGATGGAATTATATTTGCTGCTACTTGTGTAGTGTTGAAAGGCCAGGGACAGAGGAGGTTTGAAGCAGGAGATGTTGAAATAGTGTGGAACTGTTTATACATTTGTATTTACAATAAATATTTTTGCCACGGCTTTGTTTTGTTGGAGCCCTCATGTGCACAGGAGTGAATCTTTTAATCTGCAGATCAAGCTTCTACAAGAGGTACAAAGCTGTGCTGCAAGTATTTGTTTGATTTCTTGTTTCCTTTCCTTGCAGTAAATCCTGCTTCCCTGCTGGACCCTTCCATCCATCTCTGTTGCGACGCTGAGCATGAGGATATTGATGCATTCCTAAAAACAGAAATATTTTTGCCTCTTGCCTGACCAATGGGATTCCTTAAAATTTGAGTTTGGCCTCCTGAATTTTAGGGAGTTTGATGCTTTATGGCAATCTTTGAGAAAGATTGGCTGAGTTCTGCGGAGTTAATGCTTCACGCTCAGCTCTCCACACCAAACACTTCTATGCTATTTCAGAGACACTAGTAATGTGTACTGCAATTATTAGGTTAAAATCACAAACTTATGCAAATAACAACATCTCTTGGTTGCAGAGACTGTGAAAATTTTCTTTTTGATTTCATCTTTTTGCAATCCGGGTCTGATTTTCAAAGTTCCCTTTGCTTTTGCCGAGGCATCCTGGTATCAAATCTCTTACGTTAACCAGGTTTAAAGTCCATCCTCTGCCTTGTGTCCCCCAACATTGCCACAGAAGCCTGGAGGGGTGGGAGCTGGGCAGGTTCGCTGTGACCTCAGCGCTGCCGAGGGGGGATTTGTGGATTTGTGGATTTGTGGATTTGTTTCAGAGAGAGGAGCGGGGGAAGAGAGACTCAGAGAGAGAGAGAGAGACAGAAAAAGAGAGAGAGAGAGGGGAGGG